TCGATGACTCATCGAAAAAACGGGTATTTTTCACTTTTGACCCACGTAACTCAGTTAGTTGACGGCATATTGTTACGAAATTTTTATGGTAGTGTGGCTAGGGTCTGAGATAGAGAATAAAAAAAAAACTTTGAAAATCCATTCACAACAACGGTGTTAGTAGCAAAAATACTTCAAAAATGTCATTGTACAAAAAAGTTGCAATTGACTCATATAGAAAAATGAGAAAGAATGAAAATGAACAAAATAGAGAAGGAAATGGCTGACTACCTCGAAAGGTCATAAAAACTCGTGTAAGGCTAGAGATCGAAGAAATGAGAGCTCTGTCTTAACAAAGTTAACGAGCACTTCAGAAAAGGCAGTCTTTTGTGCGAAGTTTTAAGATAAACGATCTTGAAGAAATTATCAAACTGCTAACATCTCTGTTAGTTCACTTGAGTTTAACTTTTAGTGATATTGGTTTAATCGTTTTTGTTGTGAAGTTGATTGTCTCATGTACTTTGCTGTTTCATTTCATATCAATTGTATGCTTCATGCAATTCAAAATTGAAAGCTTTTTTAAAATTTTTATTTATTTTATCAATATATTTGAGAGCTTTTCGCTGTCTGTTTTCTTAACGAAAATATTAATAACCGAGAAGTACTACTGAATGTACCAATCACAAAGGTTATGTGATCATAATAATGTCCCAATTGTTTCTTACAAAAAGGTCACATTCGCATATAAATGATTCAGTAGCCGTTGGTTTCTATGAGATTCAAGTCTTTTGACTTTTCTATTCAATTATGACAAGTTGTTGCAATTACCTTAAAATAATAAACATAGTTTGTTTCTGAATTGCAAATTAAGCGAAGCACGTACAGGTGAGATGACTGAGTGGGTTTAATTTATTTATTTCTCTCATTTCTAAATATAAATTGATTTGTCGAGTCACCAAAAGGTATGCAAATATTCTCATATATCAAATAAAGCGCTCTTTTGACGCTTAAACTAACCTGTTTTCATTCACTGATACACCAAAACAGTTTTCTTTCGTGAGTCCATGCGTTTTCTACTCTTCATATAACAGAGTGTTTCAACAGATTGTACTCATTTAGATAATGCTCACTTTTCAATATAGAAATATGCGTTTGATTCTTATCACCTCTTTGATGTCTTATATTCAATGTGGACATTATAAAGGAGGAACAATAACATGGAAACCTACTGGTGTAACATCAGGTTCTAAGATTGAAATAATGTTCAATGAACGACATTCATTTACATTGACTGGTCGATACGCGTGTGACCAATCTTTAATCGCTGGATTAGTATACGGTTCTTATTATGATCAAGGTGCAACAGCACCACCCGATTTCTCCTGTATTAGTTCAGCATCAGCTTGCACAACTAGTCTGTATTCAGATGTTGACCAATATTTGTTATGTACTGATTATAATAACATCTTATCAATCAGTAGTGGAGCTTATTATGGTAAACAAAATCTTAGCTCTAGTACAAATATTTATATCTCATATAGCGGAGGTACGTGGAACACTGTTATTGGTCCAAATCTCAATTGGGCTGTCACCACATATATAGACTTAGCCACGACACCTCTCAACACATCACCAGGTTAGAATAACCAACAACATTATATACTAGTAAGGTTCTCGTATGCATGTGTTATAGTAACCGGTTCATTACCATTAATACGTTGTATAAGGTATCAAGTATGCACAATACAAATTCCTATCGCAGATTGGGATGTAACTAATACATTAAGATGTAGATGGTCGACTAGTTCACCTTATGATGAATGTAGTGATATATGTTTTACTGGATCATATACATATGCATTTTCAACAGCTTCATTATCAGCATCCGACTGCACAATTCAAACAATTCAGCTATCATGTAACCTTTGGAGTTAATTTAATCCGTTAACAATGCTCATTATCTAATCTGTCTGAGTTGTATAATATAATATATAATACGTGAATGAACCGTTAACGTGGACTGCAAATTTGAAATCTGTTGATATATTGGCCGGTGAAACGACATCAACGTATGTAGCGGCCATAACAGTTGAAGATTTTGCAACGAATACAAGTACCACAGCACTAAGTTCAGTCCCGTTGCAGATGTTAATTTTCGTCTATACCCCGGCAAGTGGAGCTTGTAGTATAGCTCCCAATATTACTGGGACAAGACCAAACCGAGCGTGCATTGGTAAGTAGAAGTGCCGACCACGTCCTTTATAAGCTTTTTTCTCGCATGATATCGTCGAATCAGTGATGATATACTGAACTAAAACTATCAGAGAAGATAAAGACTATAATTAATTTAGTCATTTTATTTAAATAGAAGCATCACCAATCCGGTCGATTATAATTTAACGACTACAATTTTTCGCTAGTATTTTGTTTTAGCGATCTGATTTTCTTTAGGTGTCCCAATCAATGTAACATTGGTTGAAACAGTTATCGCCGAAGTATACTGTACCGGAAATTCGATTGTCGAATTCTTAACAAGTACACCATTGTATATGACAAAAAGTTTAGTGGCTGTATATCCGTCGCAAGCAAATAGTTATTACATAACACTGACATGGACACCAGTTTCCGATCAATACGGTATGCGCACGTATCATTCGTCTTGATCACCTTATAATATCCAGTACTTTTATTTCTCATTATTAGGCCCACAAGTATTTTGTGCATCACCTATTGACAACAATGGGTTATCTGGCTCTCAGTATTGTGTAAATTACGTTGTGGGTGTTGGAAGCCCTGATTTGATCCAAACCAACCTGGTTATTGGCACAGCATCCCCAGTGGGAACAGTGTTTTCAAATCAATCTATATTTAGTATTCAAGGTAAGATAAGGTGCCGAAAATTTAAAATGTAAGCACTATTTTCTTTTCAGTTAAATTATACATGACTGGAAAGAGCACATCAAACTGAGCAAGAAAAAACTGATTTTAGAGTTTCAAGGCATGTTTTTCAGGTCGAAAAACTATAAAAACTTGAAAGGTTCAATTTTTCAAAAAATGCTTTATTTTTAAGAAGATTTCAATTTTTTTCTTATCGTTTGTTTCAAGTTGTCAAATTAACTTTTTCTGATCTAGCATGAAACACATTTTTCCCGAAGGGCTAAGACTCCTTTACCAGTAAGTTTGCAACCACCAGAAATGCATGAAAAGACACTGTGAACCTCGTGGCAATGCTAGTTTGCAGAACAAAATGCAAGAATCGAGTGAAAACCTATACTAACTGAAAAAAAACACCTCTGGCTATTTTCGTTAAAAATTAAAAAGTTCATAACTCAGTGAAAATCAATTTAAGCTACTTCAGAATATCAAGATATACTCTATTTTACCCCCTCAATCCCATTCTGTGTTTAAGATGCATAAGAAATATTCTCTTAATCCCGAAGGTTTCTGCAAAACCTTTTCAAAAAACAAAGTATTTTCTGTCAACTTTCAAGCATTTATCGAGGTTTACAGTATTCAGCAGATAAAATAGAGTATATATATTACAGACTATATTAAAATTCAGGCAAATTTTAAATCAGCCTAGGCTAACTTAAAATTTTAGTATAGCCTAGGCTATGTTAAAATTCAGAAGTCTGAATAGTTCGATTTTAAGTTAGTCTAGGCCAGTTTAAAATCTGCCTAGGCTATAGTATAATTTTAAGTTAACCTAGGCCGAATTAAAATCGAGCAATGAAACATGGATTTATAACAAAGAATAAAGTGAGTGCAATAAAAAATTATGCCGCTTAATGATCTGATGTAGAAAGACAAGTCACCACTCGCTAATCTTAATAGAAGTATATTTAACGTATTTCTACTTTATACACAAACAATTTTGATGTAGATAATCCTATTATCTAGCCTAGGCTATACTAAAATTTTAAGTTAGCCTAGGCTGATTTAAAATCTACCTGAATTTTAATATAGCTTGTAACACATATCTTGATATTCTGAAGTAGCTTGAATGGATTTTCGCTGACGTAGGAACCTTTCGAGGTGGTTAAATGCTTTTTGCTCGGAATCTAGTGGGTCATAGGTCCGATTGAAATGAGACATCTTCCAGCTCTACACGACCTTTCTTCGGAAGGTTATAGAATTTACAAGAAAAGTCCTAAATGTTCATTGTCAGCTCAAAGCTACAGAAATAAGAAGAAATTAATTTAGGGCTTTTTTTGTAAATTCTATAACCTTCCGAAGAAAGGTCGTGTAGAGCTGGGAGATGTCTCATTTTAATCGAAAATGTGCGGGCTACAATCATGCCTCATTAAGCAAGGTTCGGGTTATATTTTAGAGTTTCTGAAAAACTGATTTTCTAGAAAACCAGCTCTTCGAAGGACTAAGGGCAATCTCATGGTCATATTCGTAATCAGCATGATCGATAACCTATACCCCACTAGATTCCGAGCAAAAAGCGTTTAATCACCTCGAAAGGTTCCCTCGTGAGTTATGAATTTTTTAATTTTTGACGAAAATAGCCAAAAATGGTTTATTCCAGCTAGCAGAGGTTTTCATGCGATTCTTGCATTTTGCTACTAGCACTGCCACGAAATCTGAAAAAGTTCTTTGCGATGTTTCGTTACCGAGAAATCATGCAGCTACAGAATGATTTTAAGATAAAAGTCGCTTTCGAGATATGGTGGCTCCAGTATCTAATATATATGTTTGCGGCTTCCAGCAAAACTCTCATAATTCTTGATTAGAACATCATGCAGAGCTATGAGGTGTTCCGTTTCGATCAGAAATGTTTGCTCTATTTCCTGGTGTTAGTGAAAGTATTGCTTCAGAAGGTATTCAGAAAAATTTTCTAAAAACCTCCATATCTCTTCGATAAGAACGAGACAACATTGGATCCTGATAGTAGATACTGTGGGCTATGTGATGATGTGTTTAGCTCAATATCAACTTTTAATAAAAAATTATATGTTTCTGACGGGGAGCGGGGATAGCTTAACAGTTGTAGCAAAAATTTGGATCTCACCCTATTCATAGGATATCGAACTTCAAAGGTATATATGGGCTTTTGCTCTCTCCTTGAGAAATTTCACTTCTGTTAAAATTCTGACATTTCTGCCCAAAACTGGGCGCTCATTTCACCAATTTCTCCATAAAAATTGAATTTTTTGACAAAAACAAGGTTGTATTTGGAACCAGAGTCAAAAACCGACTCAAAGGATGCAAACTCTATCGGACGACTTTGTATTTTTTAGAAGCTTTTTTCAAAAAAATCAAAACCATAACTTTGGATCGAAAATTGAAGTTAGCTATAAATTCGACCCTTCAAGTTTTTTAATTTTTCAACCTTAAAAACATGTCTTGAAACGCTAAAACCAATTTTTTCTTGCTCAGTTCAATGTGCTCTTTTACAATCATGTATGATTTAACCAAGCAGAAAATAGTGCTTATATTACAAATATGCGGTAAAGGCGTTTTTCTTTCATGTACTGGCACAATTTGGAGAGCAGCAAGCTCTTTTCCTCTGTCACATGACAGAGCAAAGCTAATTTCTGTAGGCTTTTGCTCTGATTTGTGCGTTTTTATGTAAAACATAATCGAGTTTTGTATTTGAGAATTTTATAAACATATGTTGTGCCTGTTCATTCACTAGCAACCGCCACGGTTCATCGTCCCAATCGGAATGGTACTTACATTACAATCATGCTTTTTAATAGTCTTATAAATGGAGCCTTAAATGGCACTCAGGTATGGAGTATTGATTGTGGATGGGATACGAATGTTTTTTATACAAATCAGACAATCTTATTTATGGTCCAAAATCCAAGCTGGACACCGGGTGCCACTTACTACGTCAACTTTGATTCTGGCGCATCGAGTGGTACTGAGTTTTGTGGTCCTGAATCAGCACCAATTACAAGTAACAGCGACAAGCACTAACTAAAACATATTTACTAGAATTTTTTGTGTCACAGATTCGTTTTTTTGGAATTTTACTATCTGGAATCCCGACTAAGTATTCATCTATTTCGTGAATATGAGCGTCATTTGATCACTTAATAATTTGAAGGAACAACATTGATAGTAGCGTCTTAATACAGCATCAATGCCTCATGACATTATCTGGTAATAAGTCAACATTCTATGCTCAATCAAGTACAACTACCACCACCACAACTGCAGGAACAGTACCAACAGTTACTACACGAGTAAGTCAGTGGTTTGGCTGAGAATAAGGCAGTTTTCAACGAGTTTTTTAATATAATAGCCTTTAAGCACCACGACGGCTAATCCAGGTTTAACAACGACCGGGATAGACCAGTTATACAACTATCATGCGTATTATTGAACGGAATTGCGGCGGTAAAGAAGTAAACAGCAATAATAATTAAAGAGAAACTGATTGTCTAATAACTGAATACTTCATCTGTGTCAGCGGCTTCGACAGGCACAACAACTACACCAGTAACATCCACCACGTCAGAAACAACATCGACAACATCGAGTATGCTTACAAGATGATCTAGTTTCATTCTGCTAGCGACAACTAGTATACATCTTCTTTCGTAATTGATCTAAAAAGACTGAAACAAACCATGTGTAAATGCTGAGATGAGACGAGACCCAAGGAGGAAACAGCGTACTTTTGTACTTGAAGTTAATTTGGCTACTTTGAGCTACTTTCAACTACTTCTAGCCACTTCCAGCTACTTTAAGCTACTTTACGCTGCTTCAGCCTACTTCAACCTACTTTAACTACTTCGAGCTACTTTGAAGTAGTTTGTGCTACTTCTACATACTTTGAGCTACTTTTGTACCTTGCACTACTTTGTACTTGAAATTACTTCGAGCTACTTTGAGCTACTTTGTGCCACTTTCTGCAACTTCTACATACTTTGAGCTGCTTTTATATACTTCAAACTACTTTTGTACTTTACCGTACTTTACGCCTTAAAGTACGCTGTTTCCCCTTACCGAGACCGCATGCAGAGTGAAGTCAATGTTCTTTTTCTTGTCATTAAGCTGCCACCACTACGACAGCAACCACAACTCAACCTGACACCGATATATTCACCCCAAAGGATTTCGAGAACGCTTGTATTCAACCAGTAACGATTACAACATTGGTAATGTTTCTCGCTATGGCTCCTATTCACATTGGGGCCATGTTTGTATTGCTTTCATATTTAACGAAAATGTTCAATCCAAACAATATAGCATTTAAGTTAAGAGCGAAGCGATTCTATCAACGAAAACATAAGATTGAAACGCTAAAGTCAAATATGTAAATATAAACACCAGTTTGAAGTACGTTTCGTCTGAACCATTCTTAGTTTTTTCCTTACATTTTACTCGAATGTGGCTTGATGATTGTGTTTGTGACACAAGATAAATTTCAAGTTATACATACAACCACGTTGTGAAGTAGGTAGAAGATTATATTTAAATCATAAAACTATCCTACATGAATAGTGTACCATCATCAGTGCTACAACCGATCGTTTCCATTATAGACAACAACAAGCATTTTTTTTTGCTGTTCTTTGTAATAGTTGGATGGAACTCATCAAACTAGCTAGAAAAAAGTCAATTTTCTGCTGTTTAAAATCATTTTCATGTGAAAAAGTTTCAAAATTTTCAAATTTTGGGAATAGGCAGAAATGAGTAAAATTTTCGAAAATATGCAAATTTTAAGCTTTACCGTTTTGTAAAATTCCCCAAACTATTTTTTTCTGATTTGAGACGAAAAACTCAATATAAAAATCGAATTTGTTCGGTTTCACCATTAAATCGTGTACTCTTTGTGTATATTCTTCGAACAAACGCCCCGCCACATTGAACAATATGGTTTTGTATTTTACAGTCTAAAGATAAAGTATAATTATGTTGTTATAAAAGATCTTCTTATGCTCATCTTTGATTATCATACAGAGTATTCAAAAACTGCAGAGTTCTAAATCGTTATAACAGGCACTTTTGTCTTTCTAAAAACGTGTATTTTTGAGCAACAGAGTAGTAATAAGCTTTGTTTTATCAAGAAATTTTTTGATTGCCAGGACTTTACATTGCCCCGAAAGTTTTCACTTTAGTGGAAGTATGTGAAAAAATCAACATTCCTTATAACATTAGATCAGAAATAATTTTATAGGAAAACGTTAGCAATCAGCAATAGATGTTTCTTGAAATTGCGAAGAGATATTTCACAATGTTTCGAAAAAACTTCAAGGTCAGTCAATAACCTGTTAGTACTTGGACGACATGTTCTAAAACAATTTATTATTAGAACTCTTTTCTACGATACCCAAATACTTCTATCTCCTATCTATAGAATATATATTAGAACTAGCATCGGTCACGATTCGTGACCATCCTGTTCGTGAGTCACGAACAGGATGCAAGCATCAATCTTTTTGAGCAAAGACTATGATTATTTGCAGTGCAAATATGAAGCATATAATGCAGCCGAATAAGACTTACAAAAATTTAAGTAATCTGTGGTAGTAGGTTTGGCAAACAAGTCATTTTCACTGTGTAACTTCTGTCTTTTCATAGTCATTATTTTTTTTCTAAAAGTAAAACAGAATATATATTGACGTTACGTACATAAATTGGACAGAAGGACAGAGTACAGGCTTTTTTTCTCAATTAATATCTTCGGTAAAGCTAGAAAGCATGTAGGTGTATGTATTATGGAAGAAAAGTAGCAAATGTATAGAAGAAGAGAAATAGTAATAAATATTTTACACTACATTAAATGCGCAAAATATTTCTAAAAAGCACACACAAAAAGTATTGGTGGGAGACTTATTCTATTGCCATCACAACACCCAACTATTTTTGACCTCGGATTATTAAGGTATAGGATTTTTTATCCCAGATTACTTAGGTATAGGATTTCCTACCGCTGTTAAAAACTGGTACGAATTAAGTAAAAAAATGCCCCTATGTAAGAGTTTAAAAACCTTCAGATGAAAACTAGAAACAACTATAGACACTCTTTCAACCAATTTTTATTGAAATATAAGTAAAGAAGGTGCAATGTCAAGCATGATCTATCGTGGAATTCGTGTCTGTTCTACCTACCCTCTTTTAAGTCAAGAGTTCGAATTCGTCAAAGAACTGTCAGTTGCAAATGGTTATCCGTTGCTCTTTGGTGAACATCTGATTGGAATAACTCTCGATAGACACTATACGTCGAAAACAAAAACATCTTCCACTTCCGACGACATCAAACACCAAACTACAACCAGTACTGCTACCGTAGATCCCTTGAACAAGGAAATTCCCAAAAAAGAAGTTATCTAGTCGGCATTTCCTTCCTAGGACGTCAAACCACTGTTTTAGGTAAATAATTAATCAGTACTGCCAAAAACGTTTGTCCACAACTATATTTGCAACCTATACCACGTCCTTCTCGTACTATTCATAGTTATTTTCCCGCGAAAAGATCCTATGTCTAGGGAACTTCAGTCACATATCATCTACAACGTTGATCACAACGATTGTGATGCATGTTATATCGGAAAAACATGTCGACAGGTGGTCCGTCGTTTCACCGAGCACGGAGTTCCCTTTCTCTCAACAGCAGCAATGTGGCATGCCACCTCAATCAGTGATAAATCAACATACGATATCGAGCAAGCGGTGTAGCTCGGTTATCAACACAAGCTATTAGTTCACTACCAGGTTTACGTAATTTAAAACGTAGTTCGTCGTATTCGTCAACGTGAATAAAACCCATTGTCCATTCCAACAAGTAGTGATACAATAATAATCTATTCCGAATATACAAAGACAATGCGCCAACATACATTTCTTCAATTTGATTCTGGTCCAGTCGATAAACGGCTACATATATTTTCAACCAAAAAACAATTACGAATTTTAGAAAGATCTGAATCAGTATATGTCGATCGAACATTTAGCGTCGTACCAGAAATTAATTTTCAATTATATACGATTCATGCGACCTATTTAGAACATATTGTTCCTGTTGTATATATTTTATTACCAGATAGGATGTTTATCTATTTTAA